GAGAAATGTGCCAGTCAAAGCCAGTCCCGCGGATAATCGGCCAGCGCTGAGCCTGCGGAGCGAGCGGGGATTCCCAGGGCGAGACCCGTGACGTCTCCGGGGGAAGGTGGCCTGAGCCGATGGAGCAGGACGTCCCAGGGGGCGGGAGCCAAGGACAAATGGGACATGTCCTCGGGCCCCGGGGGGCTTGCAGGGCTGCAAACAGGATGTGGTCGTGGAAAGAGGTCAGGGCCAAGGGCTCCTGGTCTCATTCGGGCCGTGGGCGCTCTCCCCGCTGTGTGAGGGAAGGCACGGGCCCTGCCTCCAATTGGTACGAAAGCTGCGTCTATGGAGCTAACGCGAGGCTTACTCTGAAGATGCCCAGTGGAACCTCGGTCCTCGAACTTAATTTGTTCCGGACGGCTGTGCAAGAGGCAATTTGAAAACTGAGTCATTTTTCCCATTAGAAATCATGTAGAGTGAATTAATTCATTGCAGACCCCCCAGATGACCCCCGTTTTTACCTTCCTCATATACAGGACATGTCTAATGCACTGTGTAGTCCATCAGTAGACACATCTTTTCCTAAATGTATGGAACCGCCCGCTCGTGGCCTAAAGGAGTCACTCCCCGCGCTCACCCAGCGGGTCAGATGCAGCATTTTCGCTTTTCCACGTGTCACTGCCTCCGAAATGCTGTCACCAGCTGACTGCTCTCCTTTATCCCAATCAACAGCAGTTCTTCTCCCTCGTCAACGGCCTGTGGTCATTGTTTCCTGCACACCCTTGGCAACATTAGCGCTCTTGATGGCCTCTTTAAAATTGTGCTAATTGTCCATTTCACCAGCAATAAAAGCAAAACTATATCTATGTTCACAACGCAGCTCCTGAGATGTTAACATGGGTTTAACTGTAAACTGACCTGTCCTGGCGCGTTCTCTCCTTTGTGGCCTGAGATCCGCTTCTTGCCATGCTGAGAGGTCAGCGTGAAAGGGTTGTCAGGTCCAGAACCTAAGTTAACCACGACACCTTCTCCGCTCCCCTCCCCCCGCCAACAACCTGGTCGAGAACCGAATTGTCCCCGATGGCAGGCGTCCGAGAGCCAGGGTTTGCCTGCACGCCTGTTTCCTGGGGGTTTCCTGGTAGAATCCATCGATGATGTCGAACCACACCCCAGAGGCTGGCATTTCAGACAACCTGGACTGGACTGAGACACCATCGAGCTCTGGGGCCCGGCTCCCGGCTGGCAGGTGAGCGCTCGGCCTCTGTCCTCAGCACCGAGCGCGCCAGCACACGGGCACCGAGTCCGAGGTCCGCAGGGAAAGGCGGAAGAGGGCTCTTAAGGGGATGTAATTGGATGAGAAGCGTCGTGACGTCCTGAAACTGAACACACACAAGCCCAAGTCCCTGCTGCCGAGTTGAATTAGTTTCTCAGCCCAAAGACATGGCCTTTCAGTCCTCAGGCCGATGCTCTATCCACTGAACCACACCGGCCAGGGCCCGCCACTCCATTCTCCACAGCAGCCGCACCACGTCACATCCCCGCCTGCAAGGCACTAGCTTCTCAGCTTCCCCACACCCTTGCTCACACTTGCTGTTTTCTTATTTTTCTGATAACGGCCATCTTACTGCCTGTGAAGTAGTATTTCGTGATGGTGCTGACGATTCCCTACTGATGTGGAGTATCTTGTTGGGTGCCTGTTGGCCATTTACACGTCGTCTTTGGATAAATGTCGATTCAAATCCTTTGCCCATTTTTTATTCAGGTTATTCCATTGTCTCCATTCCTAATTTCATGAATGCTTTCTTTTAAAGCGCGTGGATGTTGAAGACTGACATATGTTTTATGCACCTATTAGGATAATACTGGGACTTTTCTCCTTTATTTGGTAAACATGGGGAATGACATGGATTTGCATATGTAAATGAACTATATACTTCTAGGTTAAACTCTAGTCATCATGATGCATTATACTCTTGGTGGTTGTTGTTAGTCCTCGGGCGAGGATGTTATTTTTTCCATGTCATTGTGGACCTTGACGGTGAGCCGCATCCGCGGGGCTAGTGCGCAGAGACCCGCAGGTCATTTTGAACTTGGATTTGACATTCCCACTATTGTCCTCTGACTTCCCTGCCTTTAGAGACGAGGAGTCATTGTGAATCCACCAAATAGTGGTGGGTCTGGCGGGAACGGGCGTGTGCATGGAGAGACCTGGAAAGCAGAAATCGCACATTTTAAACTCCGACCGAAAACAGAGTAGAGGTGAACCACTGTGCCCCGTGCTGCCGGGGACACTGACGGGAAAGATAACTTCCTCTGTCCCAAGATGCACTCGGGCTCCAGGGAAGAGAGAAATGTGCCAGTCAAAGCCAGTCCCGCGGATAATCGGCCAGCGCTGAGCCTGCGGAGCGAGCGGGGATTCCCAGGGCGAGACCCGTGACGTCTCCGGGGGAAGGTGGCCTGAGCCGATGGAGCAGGACGTCCCAGGGGGCGGGAGCCAAGGACAAATGGGACATGTCCTCGGGCCCCGGGGGGCTTGCAGGGCTGCAAACAGGATGTGGTCATGGAAAGAGGTCAGGGCCAAGGGCTCCCGGTCTCATTCGGGCTGTGGGCGCTCTCCCCGCTGCGCGAGGGAAGGCACGGGCCCTGCCTCCAATCGGTACGAAAGCTGCGTCTATGGAGCTAACTCCAGTCTTACTCTGAAGATGCCCAGTGGAACCTCGGTCCTCGAACTTAATTCGTTACGGACGGCTGTGCAAGAGGCAATTTGAAAACCGAGTCATTTTCCCCATTAGAACTCATGTAGATTGAATTAATTCGTTGCAGACCCCCCAGATGACCCCCGTTTTTACCTTCCTCACATACAGGACATGTCTAATGCACTGTGTAGTCCATCAGTAAACACGTCTTTTCCTAAATGTATGGAACCGCCCGCTCGTGGCCTAAAGGAGTCACTCCCCGCACTCACCCAGGGGGTCAGATGCAGCATTTTTGCTTTTTCGCGTGTCACTGCCTCCGAAATGCTGTCACCAGCTGACGGCTCTCCTTTATCCCAATCAACAGCAGTTCTTCTCCCTCGTCAACGGCCTGTGGTCATTGTTTCCTGCACACCCTTGGCAACATTAGCGCTCTTGATGGCCTCTTTAAAATTGTGCTAATTGTCCATTTCACCAGCAATAAAAGCAAAACTATATCTATGTTCACAACGCAGCTCCTGAGATGTTAACAACACGGGATTAGCTGTAAACTGACACGTACTGGCGAGTTCTCTCCTTTGTCTGTGGCCTGAGGCCCGCTTCTTGCCATGCTGAGGGGTCGGCGTGAAAGGGTTTTCAGGTCCAGAACCCAAGTTAACCACGACACCTTTTCCCCCGTGAACAACCTGGTCGAGAACCGAATTGTCCCCGATGGGAGGCATCCGAGAGCCAGGGTTTGCCTGCACGCCTGTTTCCTGGGGGTTTCCTGGTAGAAATCCATCGATGATGTCGAACCACACCCCAGAGGCTGGCATTTCAGACAACCTGGACTGGACTGAGACACCATCGAGCTCTGGGGCCCGGCTCCCGGCTGGCAGGTGAGCGCTCGGCCTCTGTCCTCAGCACCGAGCGCGCCAGCACACGGGCACCGAGTCCGAGGTCCGCAGGGAAAGGCGGAAGAGGGCTCTTAAGGGGATGTAATTGGATGAGAAGCGTCGTGACGTCCTGAAACTGAACACACACAAGCCCGAGTCCCTGCTGCCGAGTTGAATTAGTTTCTCAGCCCAAAGACATGGGAGTGTGAGTCACAGGACCAGCAAAGCCCAGGATGCCAAGTGCCCAACAGCGCAGTTCACTTCGGCTCCACCTGCTAAGCACGAGGGCTGTCGGTCTGATACCATGTGACTCCCAGGGGTCCCCGCCTATTCAAATCTGCCGGCCACATGCCTATCAGCATGGTGAACGGTCTTGCCTTTTAAAGATGCGTTTCACGACGACTTCACTGGGATATGAGCCACATGCCGTGACTGCTTCAGCCAACACCACCTCCCCGACGGCCATCCCGGAAGGCAGTGAACTTGTGAACGTTGCGTGTTGTTCCGTGTTATTCTGCAAGAGTCCCTCGTGTCACGGGGCAGGGCACTTAAAATTAAAGCGTCCCCCAAACCAAATTCATCCCTTAACTCCTTTTCCAGCAGAGAAACGTCCACGTAAGATGCGGGTGATGTTTCCTGCCAGGAAATGCAACCCCCTTCGCATCGCAGACGGAGTCTGCCCATCTCGTTTTCCCTGATGACACACGCGCCGGGGTTTGCTGTCTGGGCCGCGTGGCCTGTGAAGCGGATCTCCGGCTTCCTTCCTGAGAATTCCCTCACACGGCGAGGCTGGTGGTCGAGTCAGGGCTGGGAAACGGGTAATTTCAAATCCAGGGGAAAGCCGTCGCCGCAAGGGCCGGCTCCGTCGGAAGGAACCGGTTTCCGTCGGAGTGTAATTGATCTCTGCTTCTGTCTGCACTCCTCCACCCACCTGGCTTTTGTCTAATTGTCTACCCATCTGGCCGTCTGCTCAGACGGAGTGCAGAGAGCACGGGAAGTCGGAACCGCTCAAGTTTCCCACTTAGTTCATAAACGCTTTCGGAGCAGAAAAGGGCTGGAACTGATGTCCACGGTGAAGTGGCCATAATGAGCTTTGTCCGAGTGAGGTTTCCCTCACGCCCGTCCCACTGAGCGGGCGCACACAGCCCCACGGTCCCCTGCCCCTGGGCCCTTGCAGCCCCGTGGCTGGCAGCACCTGCCACTGTGCCGGCCCAGGGAGGGCCAGGAAGGCTCCCGCCAGCCCCTGAGCAGAGCGAGCGGCTCAGGAAAACAGGCCAGAGGAGCGCAGACGAGGCCGGGCCAGTCAGGAACGGGCTTCGTCTCCAGGTCTCCTCGAGGCCGCGGAGGTCCAGCACTGGCTCCGCTGGACTGGCATGGCTTTGCCATCATGAGGGCGAGGGTGGGAGGGCCCCCGGGCCAAGGCATCCCCCTCCTGCCTCACATTCCCCAGATGTGGCCGCTTTGGGAACAGCACGCTCGAGGAGACGAGGCGACCGGAAGTTCACGTGCAGGGTGGCTGTGCGGTGACAGGGTGAGCGTGGCCCGTGGTGCTGTCAGGGTTTTGATGGGTGTTAACACTTTATCGCCACCTTTCCTGCCAGCACGGGCCTTTGAAAGGACGTGGGTGTGTCTGAGTGTGATGTTATGCTCCCCGAGGGGTGTCGTCTGCTTTCCTGCCGTACCTCCTGGTAACTGCACATGTAGAACGGGAGTCATCGGGACTCTGTGAAACCCCCTCTTCCGTTATCTTCTTTACCGGCAACGTTCCGGGACCACAGCTCTTGTGTGGAACCTCAATACAGGGCCTGCCCTGACAACTCACGTCCTGGCCATCAAGCAGGGGCGGGGGGGCGTGTACTTTCCAGGGACCACAGGGCGTTCCCGAAACTGCCTCGCCCACACCTGGAGTGGCAGCTGCTGCTGTCCGGCCGCTGGGCCTGGCCGGGACAGGTCGCCCGCCTGCGGGGACCCGGGAAGGAGCTGGATCTCCGGGGCAGCCACTCTCTGTCTCCTCTGGGTTTGTGTTTTTACCATCGCAAATAGAAACAATACATGTGTTTTTCTTCAGCGCATTTTATTTTTAGACAATCTGGAAAACAAAAGGCCGTCCGTGTGGCCACTTGGCTCTCATTAGCGTTCATGGGAGAAAGGCATCTTCATGGAGGAAAAGGATCCCGTGCCGCCCCCCCCCCCCCCCCCCCAGTGTATAAATAACCGCAGGCTGTGGCCTCAGGAGGCCTGGCCGCCGCGCATGCACGTCATCGCTGTGTCCTCACGGGGTGGGAGGGGGGTCCCCGAAGCCCTCGGGAGGGGGCTCCCCGAAGCCCTCCAGATCTGGGCAGGGTGGGCTCTGCCGGCTGGTGGGGAACCCCCTGCCTTGCTGATTCTCGCTGCGTTCTCCTCCCCGGTCCCAGGGCACACCCCTGTGACCCCAGAGCTGGTCCCACCGCGACGGGGCTTTTCTGAGAGGTTCTGAGTGTTTGTACGCGTGCGCCCACCTTGAGGACCGTCAGGGCAGAGCAGAGGTTCGGCAGGAACCCCACCGATGCTCCCCGACTCACCCCCTTCCCAGTGCAGATCTTAGCATCCCCCTGACCTGGCCCAAGAGCCGGGGCCCTTTGCAGGTGAGGCAGCTTAACATGAAGGCTCAGAGGGCTGGGCCGGGCTGCCCTTCAGGCCCCTTTTTGCATGTGAAGGTCACCTGAGGGTCGCAGATCTTCCGGGCCCTGCAGTGACCTCCGCATGCCTCCCTCTGGCCTGCTTCCCAGCGGAGAAGCCCGGACAGGGCACTAGGTAAGGGACAAGACCAGAGTCCGCGGGGCTGGAGAGCAGAGCCCCCCTCCCCTAGAGTTCCCGTGGGCCCAGGAGGACGGCTGGGCTTGCCCCACATAAGGTGGGCACAACCTCCAACCCACAGTGCCCCTCACGGGCCTGCATCCAGTTAGTTTAACAAAATGGGCAGGAAAAGCAGCCTGGGACGCGGGCAGGGACCTGGTCAAGGAGGGAGCGGACTGTCTCCCCGCCTGTGTCTTCCTGGGTGTACAATTCCTCCTGCATTTGAAATGAGGGTCGACCTACATCATAGGAGGGATCACCTACGGGCTATCTTAGGGCTGGTTAAACCGTAACACTCACCTTCACTCAGCGCACTCTTCCTTTTGAGTTCACAGCGCCCAGTTCCCCCTCCCAGGATGGGATGGTTATTATCCCATTGTCCAGATGAGTAAGTTGAGGCCGGATTGGGCTGGGTGACCTGTGCACGGTCATATGGTTAATGGGAGGTGGAGCCAGGCGGGAGGAGACACTTTTTGTTCCAAATCCTCTCCTTCATTTGTATTTGAAATACCTTCCACCTTTCTGAAATGATGTCATGCTGCACACGTGGCCATCCTGGGAGAGCCCGTGCCCCGACCGCTCCCAGGGCCCGCACAGGTGCTTAGGGAACGGAGCTGACCCGGGTGCGAGTCCGAGTAGCTGATGGCCCGTCTCTGCCCAGCAGCCGATGGCTGGAACCGTAAACCGTGCCGAGCAGCATCGGATGTGTTAACAAATGCAGCACAGGAGTTTGCCAACACGTTTGTGCCGCGTCTGGTAGATTGACAGATGCAGAGAGAGTGAGTCACATTCAGTTTCTGGGAAGCGACTTTCAAGTCCATGAAAAACGACCCCTCTGCCAAGTTTCTTCTCCCCCGTCACCGGTGACCCTTCAAAAACCCATCTGAGCTCGAACTATTTCAGACTTACAGACACGGGCAAAACAGTGCCAACACCCCGCCTCCCCTCAGGCTCACATGCAAGATGTGAACAATGGCCATTCTAATAAGCATTTGTCTTCCATCAGCCAGCGCCGATGCTCCCTACAGACAGTCTGTGCCTGGAATCGTGCTCTTTAAAAGGCACTGTGTTCCCAGTGTGGCCCAAAAGATCCCTTGGAAAGGGATCAAGGTGAGGAACAAAGGCGGCAGGAGCCGGGCAGAACCCGAGGGTGTGACACCTGGCGTCGGGCCTTCCTGAGAGAAGCGTTAGGGACATGTGTGGGGGCACTGAGAGGTTTAAACGCAGGATGAGAACGAATCAAGTACCCTTTTTCCTACTGTTCTGAAATCATGCATAAGCTGGGTAGTCGATCCCCAAAAGGGGGCGGGGTGGGGTGGGCATAGGAAAGTACAGTGCACGCCCCCTCCCCAAGTCATCTGCGAAACTCGCTGCCCGTGGTGCCCGGGATGTGAAACAGCCTCAGCTGCATGGACCGAACATTTGTAAATGCCAGAAAGGAGGCGCTTCCTCCCCAGCCGACACGAGACAGCTCGCGGGAATGGAAGTGTGGCCTCCCTCCGGTCCCCCGGCGGATAGAGGACACATTGTCTCGGGAACAGCTTGTCATTTTCAGTGACTTCTTCCCATGGCTCCAAAATGATGATTTTCTTTTTTGTTTTTAATATATATATTTTTATTGATTTCAGAGAGGAAGGGAGAAGGAGGGAAGAAGGGAGGGGGAGAGAGAGAGAGAGAGAGAGAGAGAGAGAGAGAGAGAGAGAGACATTGATCGGCTGCCTCCTGCAGGCCCCACACTGGGGATCGAGCCTGAAACCCGGGCATGTGCCCTTAACTGGGAATCGAACAGTGACCTCCTGGTTTATAGGTCGGTGCTCAACTGCTGAGCCACACTAGTCGGGCCAAAATGATGGTTTTCAGTAAGACAGTGAGAAGTATATCTCCACAGAGACATCCTCCCCTCTGCAGCCGAAGGGGAAACGCTGTTACTAGACTCAGGTGCTTACGTAGCATTTGAGACAGTTACACACATTTCCGTGTTCCTGGAGCTGAGGGCTCTCTCGGGCCAGCTCACCCACCAAGCCTGTTTGCTTTCTATGACTTGCTCTCAGTGACCAGCGAGGAATAGCTCAGGAAGTCCACGCGAAACGGGGAGATGGGCGGAGCGTCTGTCTGCGGCGACACCATCTGTTTCCTTCATCGGGACGTGATGGTCACCTGGGGAGGGGACGAGACGGGACGGGGAGGAGCGGTGTAAGCCTCGAGGTCCGGGGCGAGGAAGGCAGAGGCCAGCCAGCGCCAGGCTCTCGCTGTCTGCAGCCGGCCGGGATGCCGCCTCGCTTGGCCCTGAGATTTCTCCTTCGTTGCTATTTCCATGCGCCTGTGCTTCTCCTCAGAGGCCCAGGGAGTGTCTCGAGTCTGATTTTTAAAAATCGTTCTTCAAAGGGAGCGGCGTTCTTAGCAGAGGCTGCACACGGGGCCTCGGTGTCCAGCGGGGTGGGGGTTGGCACAATTGAGGTTTGTAAGAAGCGCAGAGAAAACCAGAAAAGGGATGTGCGCCAGGCGAGCGGGCCTCCGGCGGCCCCGCAGGGCTGAGGGGCAGAGCCTGCGCCTTTTCCACGAGGTCCCACGGCTTGCAATCCACTTCCTTTTCTGACCTGGGACCCTGGGAGGTATTTCTATCTCCACAAAATGGGGCTTCCAGACCTTGCTCAGGAAATGAGGGTCTGGCTGTGGGGTTTTTGGACCAGGGCCAACCTGAGAGGCAGGAAGTGGAGGTGTCTTGGGTCAGGCCTGTCTGCTCCCTGCCCCGGCCCCACACCGGGGACTCCCCGGCCAGAGTCCTGAGAGCGCATTGAGGAGGGGGTTCTGTGATCAGAGCTCCCAACAGCGCTTTACACCCCTGACTCTGTATCTCACGCCGTAGGCCCCATCTTTGGTCGCATTTATTAAGCTCTTCAATGGGCTCTTTCATGTGGCTCATTTCCTTCACGCATCTCCGCGTGAAACCAGCCAGGGTCTGGCTGGAGGCCAGTGGCCGCCGAGCGGAGGCCAAAGATGCGCTTCCCCCAGCAGTTGTGACTCCAGCGTCCCCGTGGTTGCATTCAGCGAGCCCCCGGCAGGCTCACCTGCCCGTTTCCCATTCATGCTGGTCAAGAAGGGGAAACGCGGTGTATCGTTCCAACGACTGCCAGGCAACAGCGGTCCCAGCCAGAATGACAGCGACGCTGCTCATGTTTTATGATGTCATTACCTTGATTTCAACATGTATCTTAATAATGCAGATATGTTCTCCTATAAAATCTGATTACATAAAGTATATACATAGCTTGATTATTACATACAGAGGTCAATTTATGAAAATAGATACTATCCTAATAATGAAAATAAATAAACAATATGGGACAGTATTACCTCATTATAGTAGTGACTTGACTTTCCAGATGGGGCTGAGGGCGGTGGAGGAGGGATTTGAACCGGGTACCTGGCCCAGAGTCAGTGTGCTGGACCTGCAGCCTTCGGAGCAGCATCGCACACCCGCCCTGGCTGAGCCTGAGAGCTGCGGTGCCCCTGGGAGCGGCCTTCTCAGCCTCGGGGATGCTGGCCTTGCGCACAGTAGGGCCTCAGAGGGACAGCCTTCTCCATGCGGGAAGCAGAGCCCGCTCGCGTGGAAATGGCCCGTCCTGCTTCCCCTACCCCCACAGGTGGAGAAGGGGCAGCTGGGAGGTGAGCTGGGAGAGGCAGGGCCACGTGGACCAGGGATGATCCACAGGCACATCCAGGAGGAAGCAGTCAGCCCCCCGCCATCTTACATCATGATCGCAGCAAACGTAAGATAAAGCCGTCCTCTGTCCCCAGACAGCAAGTGGTGATGACTTTGGACACGCTTACATGGGGCACTGAACAGAAAGGGTCTTCTCAGCGTGGAGGGGGGGGGGGCATTTGACCATCGCAGCCGAGGGGACACGCCGCGGCATCGTTAGCGGGTCGTGAGGGCTGGCCGCCCCCGGGCACTCCTCCCCGTGACCAGGGCGGCCGGGGGTCTGTGATGAGCCGTGATGTCCGCGGCTTAACGAGGCCCCTTAACAACCCGCTGGCGTTTCCGTTTTCAAAATGGTCTTCCGCGTCGCACAGCGGCGAGGGGCCCGGAGAACCGCGCTGGCACCGCTAACTGGACTCTCCCCTCCCTCCCCCGCCAGGAGACGTCACCTGCTGCGACCTGGTGCTGCAGCTGAAGGAGTGCCAGACGCG